GCTGAGCCGCAGATGCCCCTTTAGGGGGATGTTGGGGGTGGCCGGGAGGTGTTTTTTGGGGGTGCCGGGGTGGGTTCCCGGCTCTGGGGGGGTGTGTGTGGGGGGATGCGGGTCCCCCCCGCGCTGGGGTTGGTGTTGGGGGACAGACGGACGGACACGACACAGCGGGTTTGGGTTTGGGTTTGGGTTTGGGGAGCCCTCGGCACAGCCGGGGGGGGCGGGAGGACCCCCGGACGATGCCGGAGCTGGGGGGGACCCCCGGCAGCCCGGAGGGGGGGGGGGGAGCCCGAAAATGGATCTCCAGTAAGGCTGGAGAAGGAGGGAGCCTGGACAGGGGGACTCCTGAGGCCCCTGGGACAACAAAGATGAGAAATCAGAGAGAGGGGGCACCTCTGGGTTTTCTGGCACCCCAAAACAGAGAGTCAGGGGAGAAGGATCCCCTGGGATGCCCCTGCAGTTGATAAGCAAGACCTGGGAGCAGCCAACAGGACCCCCAAAAGCATCGAACAGGGAGACCCCCAGAACCCCAAAGCTGAGAGTCCAGAGAGAAAGAGAGAGAGAGAGCTCCTGGGATTTTTATTTTTGGCTGAAACTTATTCTCCTGCGGTTTTGGGGGATTAATCTAAACGTTCCTGATGTTTCTTAGGCTGAATCTTGATGTTTCGGAGGTTTTACAGACACGAGATGCCTGGTGACTTCTAGAGGTGGACTTGGGCAGGTGTCACAGGTGAACTCACACCTTGTTTTTCCCCCCAAAACAGGGTTTCTCATTCCCAAACCTTGGCTGGATGGAGGAGAAGGCCATGAGGACGAGGAAGATGCTGCGGGTGCTCCAGGCAGGTGAGGAGGGGCTGGATTTGGAGGGGGATGTGCTTGGCCTTCCCTCCGGGCCGGAGGCAAATCCCCTGCCTGTCCTTCTCCCTTCCTGCCCCAGGCCCCGAGCTGAGGACGGAGAGCACGGAGGACAAATCCCCCCGGCAGAGCCTGGTGGGAGAGGCCGTTTTGAAGGTCCCCCCGGCGCAGGAGGAGGAGGAGGAGGAAAAGCCACAAAGGTACCCCCGGAGGAGGAGCTGCAAACCCATCCCAGGGAGCTGTGAGGAAGAACAAGCGACCCTGTGCCGGGAAGGCGACCAGAACTCTGAGCTGGAGCCCCACGAGGATCTTCACGCCAAGGAGAAGCCCTTCAGGTGCTTGGAATGCGGGAAGAGCTTCAGCCGGAGCTCGAACCTCCTCACCCACTGGCACATCCACACCGGGGAACGGCCCTACACGTGCGGGGAGTGCGGGAAGAGCTTCAGCGACAACTCCACCCTGAGCAGGCACAGGAAGATCCACAGCGGGGAACGGCCCTACAAGTGTGGGGAATGTGGGAAGAGCTTCAACGACAGCTCCGCCCTGAGGCGGCACCGGCGCATCCACCTCGGCGAGCGGCCCTACAAGTGCGGGGAGTGCGGGAAGAGCTTCGCCCGCAGCTCCCACCTCGTCACCCACCGGCTCATCCACACCGGGGAGCGGCCCTACAAGTGCGAGGAGTGCGGGAAGAGCTTCAGCGACGGCTCCTACCTCTTCACCCACCGGCGCATCCACACCGGGGAGCGGCCCTACGGGTGCGGGGAGTGCGGGAAGAGCTTCACGAAGAACTCCAACCTCCTCACCCACCGGCGCATCCACACCGGGGAGCGGCCCTACACGTGCGGGGAGTGCGGGAGGAGCTTCACCCAGAGGTCCCACCTGGTCCACCACCGGCAGACCCACACCGGGGAACGGCCCTTCCCGTGTCAGTGCGGGAAGAGCTTCAGCCGCCTCTCCAGCCTCCTCAGCCACCAGCGGGTTCACAGCGGGGAGCGGCCCTACACCTGCTCCCAGTGCCGGAAGGGTTTCGGTGACAGCTCCAGCCTCATCCGCCACCGCAAGACCCACACGGGGGAACGGCCCTACAGGTGCTGGGAGTGCGGGAAGAGGTTCCAGACCAGCTCCAATCTCCTCAAGCACCAGCGGACGCACACGGGGGAGAGGCCCTTCCGCTGCACCCGCTGCGGGAAAGGCTTCGGCCAGAGCTCCCACCTCGCCAGGCACCGGCTCGTCCATGCCAGGGAGAGGCCCTGCAGGTGTGGGGAGTGCGGGAAGAGCTTCAGTGACGGCTCTGCCTTGGCCAAACACCAACAGGCCCATCAGCGAGGGAAACCCTACGAGCTGCTCCAGCTCCATCAGCCAGAGGGGGACCCACGTTGTAAACAGGCCTGGTGACCCCCCCCCCCTTGCAGGTGATCCAGGCTGGGCAGGGCATTGGGTTTTGTGTGGCCAAGTTTTTTTGGGGGGGGGGCTCTAGGGGTGGGTTCTGGGAGCAGCTGCCAGAAACTGCCCCCCTGTCCCGACCCACCCTGAGGGGAGAGGGGGAGCCAGGTTCTTGTTAATCGACCCCCTTGGGGGCAGATTGGAGTGAAAGGACAGCGAAGGATTGGTTGGTCATGACTATAAATGGTAGGGTTTAGTTTAGAACGCCTTTGGTTGCCACGTAAAGCGGGTTTGGAGCAGTTTCATTTCCTGTCTATAGTGATATATAAAAGCATAGAAATAACACTTAATAAAATGTATGAGGGAAAAGGAGGAAAGTATCAGAGTAGAAAGATCCAGAGTCACACCCTGAGGATCCAGCACAGAAGTGGTTGGTGCAATTCCCATGTCCCTTGGTCCAATTTGAGGTGTTTAACAGCTGGGGGTGGGGGAAACCCCCCAAAATGGAAAGTTCAGTGGGTTGATACACGTTCAGGATCACCCAGGTGCTTCCCCTGGGGGCAGTTTTTTTCCTTTCCTCGTCGTTTCACTTCTTTGCTTGGTCAGTGCCTTTAAATCCCTCGTGCCTCAGCTCTGTGGGGTTTCTGTGGTACATTCTGCTGCGAAAAACTCAGTCCTTGTTACATCTCAGAACTCAAATACCATTCCCCTTAATTAATCCCCTTTTCTTAAGACTCGGCCCTTGGGCCAAATGTCTAATTATTCAAAGCATACTTTGAACCAGAAGTGACTGTAACAGCTACAGCATTAAACCATAACACAAAATAAAAGACAAATTAGCAGTCAGGTGGCTTCCTCTCTTCCTCAGGGTTTCTGGATTTCCTCATTCCCAAGCAAAGATTTCTTGGCTTTCCTTGCTCAAAGGCATCTTGTAAATTTAAATACTGTAAATGATCCAAGGTTATCATTTTCTCTCAGGTCAATAATCTTTGCCATTTGCTTTCTTTGTGGGTACTTGGATTCCCAGTCTACCTGCAAATCGTGCTTAGCAAATTTTGTGTTGCTGGAACCAATCCAACTTGGCTTTCTCATTTCAAAGGGTACTGGCTTGAGGGTAATTCTGATTTTCATGGAATCTTACTGATTTTTTTTGCCTCAGATTCCCCAACTTTCGCCCAGTTTTTCAATTTCCCCCAAATTTTTTAATTTTTCCCCTAATTTCCTGATTTTCGCCCAATTTTTTCCCCATTTTCCCCTAATTTTCCCAGAATTCCTCTAAATTATCCCCTAAATTCACTTTGAATTCGCCCCAAATGGATGTGCAGGGGCTGCCCTTTCTGATTTTCATGGAATCCCACCGGCCCAAACAATAGGAACAAACTGCCTCTTCAGCCTCCCTTGGGATGTTGCTGCCGACTGGAGTTATCTCCTGCACCAGAAGAGCTGCTGCTTCAACGTGTTTAGCAATTACAATTGTAATTGTGTGCCCATTTTTAATTTCTGCCTCAAGTTTTCCAAACAATCCCTTCCTAGCAAAGGTTACGAGGAGTTTGGCAAAGGGAGGGGCTGATGAGTTACCCACTGTTCTCCTCATCCAACCCCTGCCACACCAACAACCTTCCCAGTGCCGTTCCCTGATTCTCCTCCTGCTGAGAACTGAGTTGCATCTGTGTCCGACTGATCCGTGGGCAAACCAGGCGGTGGGGACTCGGCCCCCCGAGTTTGAAGCAGACAGTGGTACCGACATCCCGCTCAGGGTACAAAGTGGGGGAGAGGAGGAGGAAGGACCTTTGGAGTGATGGAGTTTCCCTTCCCAAGTCACAGTTCCGTGGGGACGGGGTCCTGTTCTCTTGCAGGTGTCGAGCACCTGCCCAACCATGGGAAGCAGGGAAACAAATCCCCTGTTTTGCTTGTCCTCGTTAAGCTGTTTTTATCTCAAGCCACGAGTTTTCCAGCTTATCCCCTGCCAGTCCTGCTGGCGGGGAGTGAGGAGCGGCTGGGAGGGGGTTTGGGGTCTGTGCGGGGGTGAAACCACGACAGCCTTTGCTGGTGTCCAGGCGGGGCTGGGAGTGTCGGGAGATGGTGCCGGGCGGGATTGGGATGTGCTGGTGGAATTTACAGCCGCCGGTGCTGTCCGGGGCTCCTCAGGGGCCGCTCGTTGCTGTCGGTGCTGCTGAGCTGCTCAGCCCCGATCCCCTCCCTGTGCCCCGGGCCGTGCCTGCCCATGTTGGACATCGCCTCGGCCGTGTGCCCGGGCCGGCAGGAGGCCGGGGAATCGCTGCTGCTCCGGACAGGCTGGAACTCCGTGGGAACTGGAGCTGAAGGGCCCGTGAGCCGCGGGTGAGCCCGGGCTGGGGCAGAGACCCCCCTGCAGCCCGGGCAGGAGCCCACGCAGGAGCAGGGGATGATGCCCAGAGGAGGCCGAGAGCCCGTGGGAAGCCCCTGCAGAGCCACGGGGAGAGGAGCCCACGCGGAACAGGCTCCGGGCAGGGTTCGGGACACCCACGGAGGAGCGGCCTGTCCAGAAGGACCGAGCAAAGCCCCCCACGCGGGGCGGAGCGGACACGGACTCCTCTCCCCGGGCGGGAAGCAGCGGTAGGACCCCCACCGTCCCGTGCCGGAGGGAATAGGGGATAAAGCGAATTCCATGAAGGAGGGAAGGGCGGGGGAAGGTGTTTGGCTTCTCCCGCTCCCGCTCGGCTCGGAGCGGTTGCCAAGCCCATCCCTGTCCCCGGCCGGCTCTTTGTGCCCCTCAGGCCGATCAGCCCACACCCTGTGCCCGCCCCCGGCCCGGGCCGCGCCACAAAATGGCGGCGGCAGAGCCGGAGGCCCGTCGTGATTGGCTGGCTGCCCCGTCACTCTTGTGGCTGGCGCGCTGATTGGTGGGGTCGGGCGGGCAGTGCCCGCCCCGTCGGTGTGGAGGGCGGAGCAGCGGCGGCAGCGGCCGGACAGCGCTGGGGCGGCGGCGGAGCTGGGCCGGGCCCGGCGCAGGTGGGAGCCGCGCTCGCTGGGCCGGGGCTCGGGGCTCGCTGGGCCGGGGCTCGGGGCTCGCTGCGGGCCGAGGGGGCGGGAGGCGCCGGGGGCGGGGAGCGGATTGGTGTGGCGGGCGGGGCGGTGCCAGCGGTGGTGGGGAGCGGGGCCTGTCGGGCTCGGCCCGCCGTGTCCCCCCGTGTGCCCTCCCGCTGCCCGCGGGCTCCTCGTTGCCGCTGAGCGAGTTTGGGCCTCGGCCTTGGCCGCAAACGTCGCCTTCGTTGCCCGGGCTGCGACAGGGCCATAATGACCCACTGGAGAGAGCCACAGACTCGTTCTCATTTCCGAGCTGGGTGCCC